CAACTCATTCTTTGTTTCAATATCGACTTGAAAGAGCTTAGGGATTCAGCAATTTTTGCCTCATGGGGAAGATTATTCCAATGCAAGGCACCATTATAACTGAAGCACCTCTTGCCGAATTCTTTTTTCGGCATAGATGGTGCTAAATCAGTATCCCTATTTCTAAGATTGTAAGTATTATGTCTTTCATTATTAAAATGAAATGCTTCTTTAAGATTGGGTGCGGTGTGGCCATTCAGAATTTTATAGACGAAAATAGATTTAAGGTAATTTCGTCTTTCTTCTAGAGGTTTCCAATTTAGATTATTGAGTAACCCCACTCTTGCAGCACGATTTTGGTATTTTTGCAACTTATCTTTGAGCCCAATTCCACAATTATCCCACAACGGGCTGCAATAATCGAAATAAGGCTGTATAATAGCATTATATAGCATTTTGGTTGTTGACAGTGGTACAAAAGGTTTAACACATCTCATTGCACCAATACCGGCACCAACTTTAGAACAGATTGAATCAATATGTTTATCCCAAGACAACCTTTCGTCCATAGTCATGCCAAGGCATGAATATTTATTAAATCCTGGGTACTAGCTTATTATTAATTAAAATAGGATTACCAGATACTTTATTCTTAAGGTTATAGGGAGATCCAATGAACATATGTTTCGATTTACTGGGGTGGATTTGAAGTTTATTGTGTCTCATCCATTTGTGTATGTTTTTGAGATCAATATTTACCTTGTCGACAAGGTCGGCGCAGTCATTAGAAGATGCATCAATTTCCGTGTCATTAGCATAGAGTGAAGGAGGTAAGTGACTTAACGAGTCAGGCATTTATGTATAATAAAAATAATAGAGGACCAAGGATGGACCCCTGTGGAACTCCGCATATTATCTTTTTTGGGCTCGATAGTTGTCCGTTTATAAGACATTGTTGAACTCTGTTATTCAGGTATGATTCGAACCATCTTAGTTGGTTTCCTGTTACTCCGAAAAGATTACGCATTTTATCAATCAGAATTTTATGATTTATGGAGTCGAAGGCTTTTCTAACATCAAGAAAGACTATACAATTTATTTGACCACTATCCATGTTTTTAAGTAAATTATCACACGTTTGTATCAACGCAGACAGGGTTGAGTGTTTAGGTCTAAACCCTGATTGGAATTTAGAAAGTAATGAGTTATTGGAAAGATAGCCATAAAGCTGTCGAAAAACCTCTCTCTCAAAAACTTTACTTACAATGGGGAGTATGGAAATTCGCCTATAATTTTCACATTTCCGTCGATCTTCAGATTTGTAAATTGGAATTACTCGCGCGCGTTTCCAGTCACCAACATAGATACCAGTGTCAAGTGATAAATTAAATATATATGTTAATGATGGGGCAATAATATCTGCAGAGAGTCTGAGAACATTGGCTGGAATTTTATCAAGGCCAGTAGATTTGTTTATCTTGATTTGTTTATCCAGAAAAACGTTTTCGACATTAATACGATGGAAATGATATTCCCCTCAAGAAAGTCATCAATATTATCATTAAAAGAGACCACTCATCAACGCAGCAACAATTAAATTTTAGCAGTTTTACATCTCAAAAAGATCCTATTCTTTCCGATCCACCCACCCAACACCGTTGGTCACCCATGCCGCGATAATTGATGAACTTTAGACTTCGCTAATGCTTTCGTTTCCCCGGGTGTAAATAGCCGGGGGGAATTAGTATCCTCACACGGCGCGAAGCCCCGTCGGCTCAGGGATAAAAAAAATTAAAATGTTTACAATTTTCAGAGTGTCTATTGTTTTGTGTTTTCTTAAAATACTCCATGGCAACCACAATTTTTGGCTTAATTATTTTACTCTGTCTAATCATAGTTAATATAATGAGAGGGTTTGGAAGGCCGGGTCACATGACAAAATAACTCATTGTTCTTAGTCATGTGGATCCGATAGTGCATGCGAAGAGGTGTTGACATATAGAAAAGCATACAGTTTTAAGCTAAGCAAAGGGTAAAAATCTCAAAAATCATAGTTTTTTCGTGATGCCAGGACCGAATGGAGCAGCAGAGCGTTGGAGTAACATGCGGTTTTCACGGGACGTTGGAGTAACATGCGGATTCATTTCCATTTCAAATTACAATAATCTTCGAGGATTGATGATTGCTCAATTCAACTGTTTAGTATATTCACAAGAATAGAATAGGTATTAAAACGTTTAATACATATATCTCAAAATAGAGCTGTGGGAAAGAAGGCTTATTTATAGTATTTGTAATTTGATTCAGCCATATAATAATTGAACGAGTTATTTGCCATTTCGAAGCTGTTTGGGGCAGTTTGGCATTTCAATGGCGACAAAAGCATAAAACCTGACATTCATATGGCTTTAATACATGTTATGGCTTTACATGTTAAGTTGTATGCCTTTGTCATGAAAGCATTACATATAGGCATAAATCCTATAAATCAATGCTGTAAATAAATAAAAATAAAGGTATATAGTTGTATTTTATTGACTTTTACTATATTGCATGATAATATATAGCAAAGGTTATATTATATGGCTTTTAATATTATATTTTTAATACAAACTGTGTACAAAGGTTTATTAGTTTAAATCTTGTGCAGGGATACTATTAAACTATGTAAGGGGTATATATCATTCTGATTTTGGGGATTTCCCTTGGGTAGTGTGTGTTATTTTCACATATTTGCATTACTATAATAAAGTAAGGTGCATGTAGCTCAAGCAGGTAAAGTAAAAGTGCTTGTTCAAATTTAGGGTTTTTTTCTTTTTAGTTTCTAGTCGTAAAAGACTAATTTGTGGGGCAATACCTTCACTAAATCTTCCCGTGAAAAGTGTCCCTCCTCCCCTGTAGCACCAAGACACGAGCTAGTGCGGCAGCAAATTGATCTTCCTGTTCCAATGGTGTATTGCAACTTGGAACATTTAAAAAAAAAGTATTGTCTTTAGTGATGAAAGGATGGTTCAAGACAGAAGATGAGGATACTGTGGTTTTTGAGTTTTTCCATCCACCTTATACCCTAAGAGGATGGTCCACCATTTCAGGCTCATGTTTTCATCCAGTCTGAAAACTTTGAGTTGCTTTGCGATGACATTTTGTGTTCAAGTTGCATGAAGCAGGAACGATCCCTTGGTAAAATGAAGGAGAGTAATGTCAAGCAAACAGTTGAGCCACTCAAGAGTAACACATCTCTGTTAGGTTCAAGCAAGGAAAGATTGGTCGCCACTGTTCAAAAGCAAAGGATTGTTTGCAAGGAGCTTGAAGGTCGGATTGCTGAACTGGAAAAAGAAATTGAAAGGAACAGCATTCCTATTGATGAGACCATGGAGAAAGATATCTTGGCAATTCTCGCTGATGGTGGTGATGAAGTAAACCCACATGTGAACGTTTTCTGGAAGCAACAAAGAAAACTACTATCAATGCCAAAATTTGGACGAAGGTACCACCCTCGCATTATCCGTTTTTGCCTGTCTGTTCACGCCAAGTCCCCAGCGGCTTATAGAGAACGGTGAGATTCTGGTATTTTAGTACTTCCAAGCGAAAGAACACTGAGGGACTACCAGAATTTTTTTAAACCAAGGGCAGGTTTCCATCCAGAAAATATTGAAAGATTGAGGAATAAAACAAGCCAATATTTTGACATCCACAGGTATGTTATTATTTCATTTGATGAGTTGAAAATCCAGTCAAAGTTGGTATTTGACAAACACTCCAATCAGCTGATTGGCTTTGTTGATCTTGGAGAAGAAGAGTTGAATGTCAGCAGTGGATCATCTGACCTTGCAACACATGCCTGGTATTTTTTGTTCGAGGTGCTGCCAGCAATCTGAAGTATGCCCTTGGTTACTTTCTGACCAAAGATGTTACATCATATCAGACAATGCCCTTGTTTTGGAAAACAGTATCTGTGCTAGAGATGGGTTGCAATCTCTGGGTTTGCGCAGCTGTCTCCGATGGAGCTTCACCTAAATGCCTTTTTTGCATGCTGATCTTGTGGAACCTGGTGGTAACGTGGTAAATTACACATCCAACCTCTTTGCTCCAGCTGAGTTTGGCTACAATGATTTAAGGATCGCCACACTGAGAGATGTTGCACTCCAATCTGTGCAAGGAAATGTGTCTGGACGGCATTCTGGCAAGAAAAGTAAGTGGTATGGAGTAAGTGAAGAGCCTCTGCCTAAAAAGAAACCAACCAAGAAAACAAAATAAACTGATTTGAACCACAATAACACTAAATGAGACAATAAATTAAGTAGTGGAAATTTGGGTGTTACTTGCATTGTTAGGTGTAAATTGCTCATACTTGGAATTTATGTTGCAATTTGCTTCTGATCGATGTGAATGAGTGAATTAATTATGAATGTTCTGATTATTTAAGCTATTTCTCTTTTTATTGTTCCCTTATTCACTCTGTCACATCCATAAAAATTGCACCTAAAATCTCAAATTTCTTGCCGGCAATGAAAACTAATTTACAGATGACATTGTTCACGTTGAAAGCTGTTTTTGTACAATCAGTCAATGAGAATAGAGGTAGTGAATGGCAATGAACAATTAAATACATTAATTGATACTAGCTATTTTTAGTTAGAAATTTGGCAAATGCCAGTGCTCATGACTATATAATTTACATTAAATAAATTGTTAAACATGCATGTATTGTGAATATTTGAATTTTTTTTTTATTTGCCCATACAAAGCTAAATATATTTACAATCTATATTTTTTACAAACATTAAGGGCTAGGAACCTTTATGAAACCCCTATCAGGCTTTTATTCAAAGGCCCCTAGTTTAACAATATTAATTATCATATAAAAATGGTTAAAGCTTGTTCGATCTTGTCGGGGGCGGAGTAAGAGTATTTATGAGTGTGGTGATTTGAATATAGGTGTGCACAAGAGTTTATTATGTGAGATTACAAATGAAAGTGAATTGTTCTTTAAAAACACATTTATATATGTTTGTTCAACAATAATCATATCACTAAAGGGCCATTCACAATGGATGTACAGCCAAATGATGGATTTTCAGACCCATCCCCTCCCCTCGGACATCCGCCATGCCTCGCAAAAACTCATTCAACTTTGTATAATATGTCAAGAGTAAAAAACTTTTGTTACATTTAGCACTTTTTTATAACTATAAATGTGACTACAAAAAGAGTTATAAATGCAAAAAGCTATTATTTCATGACACTGTTGAATTCACCAATGAAGGGAAGAATTAGATAATATTACGAAGTGTTCAAAATGCCAATTTCACAATGGGAAGGAGAGTGCAAAATAGAGGAAACAAAAATTTGTTTTTTAAATTTTTTAAATTTTGGACATCTAGACCGCTAAAAACACCCCTCCCCCCTATATCAGAGTTTGTCCTTATTTTCCAAACCCCCCTTGGCTCGGACATCCTTTGTAAATGGCCCCTAAAAGGATAAATAAATATGCTCTTCTCTCAAATTAGTTCCATTCAAAGGTGCCTAAAATTGAGCCCCTGGGAACTGATGTAGAGGTTGCTGAATGTGATATTGTCCTGAACACATTATCAATTGCATCTCAGGATGAATTGTCACAAACTTGAAATAAAACATGTTCTAGTAAACTTGAGGCATGTGCAAATCAAATCTGATTGGCTAATTAGATTAAAACCTTTCAAATGTTATGGACAAAATGTAAGTTTTATGTTTTATCTGCAACTGTCCATCTTAGATACAATTGACAGTAATATATGAGAAAACTCTCATGATTAATCCAATTATTATTTAAAGGGCAAACCATTTGTGTGGACCCTTTGTGATTAGTCTAACAATTCTCCTAATGTGCCAAACATTTGATTACTGTATATATAACTGTATTATTATTGTATTTGTAAAAAGGTTACCTAAAACTATAATTTGAATATACTTGAGTGTTTAATAATTATATTTACATTTAATATGTGAACATATTTACACAAATTTATTATATTTACATTACTTCAGTTCACTGGCTATCTTCAGTTCTTTCTTAATGCTTTCTTTCTTTCGGTTCCCTGACTTAGTTTATACTTATTTACAATATCCTTAGCAAAAGAAAAACACCTGACAGTAACATATAATTTGATAAGATTTTCTAGGCATAAAGACTGACATTCCTTTGAGATTTCTATATCACAGTTTTCAATAATGTCACACCACAAGTTTTTAACAAGGGGAGAAGTTATCACTTCGTTCACTATTGTGTCTACTGGTAGACGAGTCACATTGTCTTTATCTGTGTGCTTCCTAAATAGCAACTTGGCCACCTCCTGCAATGCTTACAATCCTTGACTGAGGTGACCAAAGCCCACCTCTTGACAAGGATGCAATGTATTCATTTGCCTCTGTTTCCTCTCGCATTGATGACATCAATGCTTGCATTTCTTTGTTCTGTGGGGAGTTTGCATCTTGAGCAGTTTTTGCTTTTTTGATACAATGATCTGATCATATAACCAGTCAAATATGGCAAAGGTCCAAATTCCTGTGGAGACAAGGATCATTCTTCCTAAAATTCTGATAAACAAAGGAAAATTACCATCTATATCACAACTTATTACCTGAAAAATTTGAAGGAGATATTGAAACAGACATGCATGTACGTACACTTCCCATTTTCATATTTGAATACGATGGTATTGATACAAAATGGTAGGCCAGTGTAGTTTTATTTTTTACCACTCTGACAGAAAGCTGTAATTATAGGTTTCAGTTACAACCTAATTACAAAGGTTCCTGGTACTTATATTAATGTCTAAGTCAGTTTTTTAATGAGGGAGGAAAACCGGAGTACCCGAAGAAAACCCTCGATGCACAAGAGAGAACTCAACCAAACTCAACTAAACAGGAGTTGATAAAGATCACAAAAGCACCCTAATTAGACATGCAGTAACATGCTTAGGGGCCGTCGGACAAATAGATTTCGTCCACCGATCGTGGACTTGTTCCGCGATGAGGGAAGGACAAAATAATCAGGATACTTTTCTGGCTAAAGAAAACATTGGATTGGTCCTCGATGGGGGGTGGGGGTAGGGGTTGAAGCAATCACGTAAAAAGTCTGTGATCGGTGGACAAAATCTATTTGTCAATGGCCCCTTAACTCAGTGGTGGTCGAGAGACAGTATGCTATCCAACTATGCCATCCTTGTTAGACAGCCTTGAATCGAGGAGGTATAAAGTGTGGGCTTATATCAAACAATTTCCATCCCTGTAAGTGTAGATCCTGCCAAATGAGATGTTGGCAAGACCTTGCTTACTGGACTGGACTTCTAAACAGGTTGGTCCAACTTCTGAATTTTGACAACAATTAACTGTACCTCAGATATTCCTTCCTCCTTGGTCATCTTGCTTTAGCTTCAGAAATCCAATCGGGCGTTCATGGAGATGGATCAGCATTCAGCATAAGAAAAACAATCTTCTTTTCTCCATACGGATGAAAATATTCTTTCCAGTTTCAATTTGTTTTGCCATAAAACTCTTCGAGAAATTTGTCCCGATTTTTTTTTCTGTTAAATATTAATAACAGCTGATTGATGAAACTGACAAATGAATCACTTTGTTGGAATTTAAAAACCTCTGATGTATGTTCCTCTTTATAAAGTTTTTCATCAATCAAGTGTTGACCAATGTCACAAATTAAACCAGCAATTTTTTCCATTGATATAATTAAATCTTCAGACAAAGATATCTCTCGCCCAATTCTGCCACATGTTTGCTTCATTGGTGATTTGTCAGGCCACCTTTGGACTTGCACACTTTTTCACAGAAGCTGCAAGGAAATTGCTTCTTTCCTTTAACCTAGAGGCAAAGTAAAAGATTAACAATATAGTACATAATGCTATGTCTAATGATGATAATAAAATATATAAAAAAGTATTGTCTTTTATGTTACCTCTTCAAGCGATTGTTGAACGTTTGAACTTCGTCCACATTCATCCCCAGAAGTATGATGGTTTGCTCAAAATCGCCTTCAAAAGCAGAACAAGACCTTGCAAAAGATTCATATTCATCATTTACATCCATGTTTCCAAAACTAAAAACGTGATTCTTTACAATCTCTTAGTTAGAATCAATCACTTCATTTGACTTGAAATATGATACCTGACACATTTACCTGCCACCCCGTTGATAGTATACTCAGCGGAAGCAGATTGGCCAATGGAACTTAAAAGCGTCTTAAAAGTTGCCTATTCCACAAGCAATGCGTGATAAACTCTCAAAATTTACCAAAACGTTGAAAACCCATAAAAATTGAGGTTTTTTACTTTTCCATAATATATCACTCTATTAATTTGCCACCATGATGTAAACCTTCCAAACCCTCTCATTATATTAACTATGGTCTAATACTAGCCAAACAAGGGGCTCTACACTTGATTGGTTAACGTTCTTAACAAGTTTTAAGTTATAGTCCCATAATAAAATTTGTACCTGAAAGAGCATTGTTTGAAATACAAATCTTATATTTAGCAACTTTACAACTTTGCCAAGCATTGGCCATAATATTCAAGGTCTCAATGGTATATTATGGTGCCATGGTTGAACATACATAAACAATGATTGTTAACTTTCTTGGAGATAATTTCTGTGAAGATTTAGGTAACAGACATGCAAAACCTGCCATACAGCCTCCAGCAATGACAACAGATTAGAAAAGATGTTTCCTGTAACCGTTTGTATTTATGACATCAACTTTGCTAGAGTTTTTATCAACTGGGATCATTGTGTAGCAACTGGTCTTGACAACACAAATGTTAATATAGGAGACCATAATTCAATCAAGTCCCGAGCAAAAGAAAAAAATGAGGACATTATCATAGCTGGGTGCCCATGTCACATCCTTCATAATGTCACCGGTAAAGCAGGAACAGATTTCTCTGAGATTACTGGCTTTGACATAGAAGATCATTGTGTTGATGTGTTCTACTGGTTGGATAAATCCAGCAAAAGGAAAAGTATTCTCAAGGAATACTATGAGTTCTGTGATAGCAAGTATAAAGAAATAATAAAGTTTATTTCAACAAGTTGGCTAAGCCTGGAACTTTGTGTGAATCACGAGTTGAAGAAATATGAAGGCCTAAAATCCTACTTTCTGTCGGAGCACTTTCCAGATGCACAGTTTAAGTGACTTGGAAGTTTCTACAACGATGCAATACCTGAGGTTTATCACCTCTTTTATCACGCCGCTATGTACCAAACCTGCAGCAGACTTGTAGCAAGTCTGCACCAACAACTTGTCAACAAGATGTCTTCGCACTGCCGATAACAGCTTGTTGTGACAGACTTGTAGCAACTTGTTGACCAACTTGTACCAAGGCTGTCATGACAATGTTGTAGGAAGTTGTTGTAACAAGTTTGTAGGAAGTTGTTGTAACAAGTTTGTAGTAAGCTTGTGAACAACTCGTAGTAAGTTTGTTGAAACAATACTGTAGCACCTTGTCATATTCAATCTGTAACAAGCTTGTTTCATCAAGGTTTTCACAAACATGGCGGCTCCTACTCCAATCCCACATGCGTAACTTCCGGGGGGAGGTGACAAAATTATCAAAGAACAGACATTCAAACAATATTTAACAATATGTTGATTTGAACACTGTATTTTACAAGATAATATATTATTTACAAGATAATAAAAACAATTTTATAAAATACAGGCCAAAAACGAAGGTAAGTGTCAATAAAATCTAAAATTTGTCCTTGTGTACAAAACGAACACTGTGTTTTACCCAAGTATAATAAACTATATTAGCCTATAGGAACAGTCCCTACAAAACCAAATAATATGCATTGCTATTTTTTGTGTGTTTTGATGTTATGTACTCAGTTGTATACTATGCCTTTCAAAACATAGTTTGTAAATGGTTCAGCAATGTAAATATAGTTCTAGAAACATAAAAAATTACATTTTCACTTGTACCATCTGGAATCTTGACCATCTGGAATTCTGTACTGGCTGTACACGCTTTTGCCTTTTGTTATTTCCGAGGTTGTCTTTCTTTTGTGCTTATTAATATTTCAGTTTTGTAGCCTTTCTCACACCGCCATTTTTGGGTACTGTAATTTTTTGTAAACCATTATAACAATGTGAAAAGCAATATTTCAGAACAAACTAACTATTTACAGAGTAAATTTATCATCATACACCCACAAAATTATAAAATGTTGCTGTTATATGGTGTTACGCTCGCAGGATTAGCAAAAAAGTACCCCAAAAATGGCGGTGTGAGAAAGGCTAATTTGCCTTTCTCACACCACCATTTTTGACTTCCACTTTAGCTGAAGTCTGCGAGATAAGTCCACATTTAAAAAGGTGATGTAAAGTCTGTTCTGCACATACATTCTGCACAGGCCTACATTCCAATGGTCGGGACCCGACCATTGGAATGTTGTTAATATTTCGCACCTTCCAAACTTTCTTGAATTGAATCTCTAGTCTGTATTAATTTACAAGCATAGTGAAACAGAAGAGTGTTTTTTTGGGTGAATGATAGTAAATTTGCTTTGTAAATGGTTAGATCATTTTTAAAAATTGCTTTTCACCTTGTTTTAATTATTGGCATTCGTTAACGAGAATTGGATGCCACCCAAAAATGGTGGATATTTGTCGTCGTGAGAAAGGCTAATTGGATCAGAATTCTTCCAAAAGGAATGACACTGTTTTATACAAAAATCTGCCTGAATCTTTTTGCTTCGATTCCTGCACATCTCGTCAGAAAAAAATAACAATTGGTAAAGTCAATGTTTGTTTACCACCAGCTGCTACCTTTGTTGGATGTGGTCTTTCCATTTCATCCACTTCCTATGTCATATAGAGGAGCAAGAACTGTAAATTTAAGCCTGTTTTCAACGGCGAATTGTTCGCATGATCGCTTAAAATAAAAAGTTGGATCGATTCCTGCTGTTTCGTGGCGTTTTTGTCGGTAAACAATCATACACTGTATATACAAGCTGGGCTTAGTTTTTGCTTCGCGATTGTGCAAACTAATTTGCCTATTATACAACGGGCTTAACTTATGTTTGCCTATACACAAGATGCAAAACGTATAATATGAACGGTGTTTATATGTACAGCACCTACACATTGTGCATTTTTGTGCGTTTAACCTACGGGGCTTATTAAAATTTAGTCGAACTGTTAAAGTTAATAATTTGTGTTATTGTGTTACATTGAATAACTATCTCACTATTTTATTGGCAACTGACGGTGTTGCCAACTGCAATTTTATGATGTCAGAAGGTGCAATCCAGTAAAAGGGATGTCCATCTCCATAACTCTATACAATGATATATTGTTACGCAAATGTTTTGAGAGCCTCTGCTTATTACCCATCTGAATTGAAAATGAGCAGCAAGAAGCTGACGTCCATAAAGGTGATAAAGGTGACTTTTTGGCTTGAAGAATCGCCCTTTTTAATGGTAACCAATCTTCCATTCCATCCACTTTGAAGGACAGAATGGATGAGAGAGAGGGGAGCTGCACTCCAAATAATTCCAACATCGTCCAGAGAAATTCTAAATCTGATCTAGACTATAAAAAAGTAGAATGCTCTTTTTAGGCTTTGTAATCCAAGTGAGTATATATACACTTTAAGACCTGACCAGGAAAATACAGTGCAAGGTCCTCTGGTAGGAATTGAACCTATGGCCCTGCAATTCCGGTGCAGCACTCTAATCAACTGAGCAAAAAATGATCTGGTTTCTTACGCTTCTGGTTTCTTAATTCCACTGGCCAAGTGAAGTGCAAGAAACCAGATAATTGAAGTCCACCTTATCAAAAACATGGGAAATTTTAATTACAACAAAAATGACTTGCATCATCGGAAAACGTGCAAAAAACCGCATATAAGACCTCTAAACACATTTCTGATTCTTCAAATAGTTTTTGAGTTATTGCTGTTTAAATGTGAAAATTGGACCAAAATGTTGCAATAAGGACTGGGTGTTTTGGCAGTGCATAACTTGAAAAATTAGATAAATAAAAAACTGTTTAAATGTCTTATATGTACATTTTTGTAAGCATTATGTATGATGATGCACTTCATTTCAAAATGTCCCTGTTTGCCCCCTGCCCATTTTTAAAGGTGGCGTTTAAACGAGTAAATATGACAATTAGCCATTAGCCATTTCCCAATCGAGCAGAGAACTGGGTCTAGTTGATGTTTCGAGGGACAACAAGTTATAGTGAGCGTGTTATAGCGAACAATGTTGGATGATTGTTGGTCAACGTGTTCAATCCAACAACTTTTAGCAGTACAAAATTCTGTTCGAAAATAAGAACAAGTGTGACCTATGTGTTGTTCATTGGACAGCATTTACTGTATATTAATTAATATATGCATAGATTGTCAATGTTATTGTTTTCATGTTTTTAAGATGGCTGCTTTTCCTTGCTGCATGTAAGCCTCTACATTCTGTATATGTTAACATTATTGTATAGATTTTTACTTCATCGTTAGTATGAATAAAGTTTTTTTTAAACTATAATACTATATCAGGTGAGATTATCTCATATTTCTTGTCAAATTTAAATAATATCAATGGAAATGATGACGTTGTACTGATTTTTCGCCAAATGTTGGATGATGTTGGATGAAAAGTTTGAACAAAATCAAACTTGATCCAACATCATCCAACATAATGCAACAATAGGGCCATTTATACGGGACAAAATAAGTCGCGACTTACATAAGACGCAACTTAAATAAGCGGAGTTATCGCATAATGGTTCTCTACGGCTTTGGTCTTATGTATTTGCTATAGCTATAATGTTGTTTTGTTTGTTTTTGTTTTAATATACAAGGCTAATAATTTTACGTTGTTTCAAGTTTCTGGCATGTGTAGTTAGAGATTTTGTCCAAAATTTCTTGTTTAAGACGCGACTTGGATAAGAACAGCGTCTTACATAAGAATTTTGTACCTTTTATACGACAAACTCGCGTCTTATTTAAGTCGCGTCTTATTTTGTTCCGTATAAATGGCCCTAATATCCAACATGGTGTTCAAACAGACCCAACATGTTGGACACAACAATGTTCGATGATGTTGGTCCAACATGTTGCATCCATATAAACAGGCCTTACTAACTCTTATCCTCATGAAATAACATGTTGTGAAATTAATATACACTGTGTAGCTTTTACCTTGGGCCTCATAACACTGTGTGCATAACAATACAACAAAACAACTTTTCATTTGGAAAAGGGAAGAAGTCATTGTTGTCTGGTTCCGCGGCAGCAAATTGCTCTCCGCATCATTTTGATTGACTTCTGATGAGCCCATTAATGGCGCATTCTTTATTGCCAGTAACCTTTGCAAGTGACTGCACGATAAAAAATGTAGTTGAGCACTCTCTTGTGACTCAAAGTAACAACAGCGCCTCTTCTCCTTTTCATATTTTAGCTAAAAGTAACTTTTTTTGTATTATTTTAGACAAGTTGTTGCAGCGAAACAAACTTACTCGGTATGCTCATCAGTATGTTCCGTTATATTTTTTTTCCAACTCTTTTGAATATCGCAAAATATTTTGCGGTTCTTCAATTGGTGTGAAAATTTGGTTTTATGAACGCTTGCTTCCTTATATGGAAGTCAAGAGTAAAATACTCGATCCTGATTGGCTGCTATATCCTTTCATTTTTTCTTCAATATTTCCCACCCAAACTTTTGCGTCTTTTCACTGTGCAAGTGTGAAAGGTTAAGAAAAATGTTTCGTTTCGGTGCTTTTTCTAACCCATTTGATGATAGTGATGCAGAGACTCAGGATAATGATCCATAAGTATTTAACATGCATTAATAACGTATTGGTATGTTTTTAATACATTTATACATGCCTTTAAGGTTACCCTTCCCAGCTTCGCCAATGTCATCAAGCAGCCGAAACAGACAACCTGGTACGTTTTTAGCCATCCCAGCTAGCACAATTACGTTGTGCCAATGTTGTACGAACGTTCGCCGAACGTGGAGATAACGTTGGTATTATAAGTTGTAGTAACGTTATTTTGTGAACTTGCAGGAACGTGGTGACAATGTCAGGATTAACGTTAGAACACAACGTTGGTTCAACGTTGTTACAACGTTTCATTAACGTTAGAACACGACGTTGGTTCAACGTTCTTGCAACGTTTGATTAACGTCCAGAAAACGTTGAAAATTAACGTTGTAGTAACGTTATTTTGTGAACTTGCAGGAACGTTGTGACAACGTTAGGATCAACATTAGAACAATTAACTAAAGTCTTTGATTTAATCATTTTATTTAAGGAAAGAGCTTCATTTACAAATAATATAGGCTAAAAATACTGATCCAATTTATAGTTTGGATGAATATTGACAATAATATTTAATTCAGTATAGTATATGAACAAGCTTTCGTTGGTAGGGATGCAACTACCTGAACAATCTTGTATGACGGAACTTTTTCTAGGCCGCATTTTAGGAATAGACGTACGCAATACTGTGCTTGAATAACAGTCTGTAGTTTAAATTACAGAATTATCTGAACAATATAAGGAAAATTTCGACGTTTCGAGTGAAAACCCTCCAGAGTAAATACGTTGCTACGAAGGGCCTTCGCTCGAAACGTCGTAATTCTTCTAGTTCTCGTTATATGTAGTTTGAGATAGTTGTATCCTCATCTACACTGGCCCAGCAGTTCAATATTTAATACAGTATACTAATTAGTCATTCTTGGATTTCATTGACAAATGAACGAGTACTTCTGTAATATATCTTCGATTCAAGAGAGGCGCTGTAAAATGTAAATTAATATGGCGTCAAACAAACATGCAGACACATATCAAAATAAATATATTTTGTTCGCCTTTTTTCCCTACATGAGATAGACACATGGAAGTTTCAAATGTTACAGATACAATATATATACTTACATCGAAAACAAAATGAACGAGCGAGTTCCTCTGAAATATACAGCAGCTTCGATGATGATTCGCAATTCCTGCAGCTGAATAGGCATACAAAGTCATATGGCCTGATGCGGTTTTATACCTATAGTTTAACTGTCAGGTTCAATAATAGAAGACATATGTTTAATTTTTTTAGAACGATGCGAAAATATCAAATCTTAACGTCAAGACGACGTTGTTTTGATGTCATATCCAAACGTTACACATTAACGTTGCTACAACGTTAAAATCTAACATTGCCATGAAGATATCGTATGACATCCTGGAACGTTGCGAAAATATCAAATCTTAACGTCAGGACGACGTTGTCTACGACGTTGTTTTGATGTCATGTCCAAACGTTACACATTAACGTTGCTACAACGTTGAAATCTAACATTGCTAAGAAGGTGTCGCATGACATCCTGGAACGTTAAATTTCAACGTTAAACCAACGCTTACACCACATGCTCTTATTCCGGATAGAAATGTAATGTTGTGTGAACGTCGTGTGAAAGTTAAGTTAGATCTAACTTTGCAACAACCTTTTACCAACATTGTAATAACGTTATGTGCTAGCTGGGATTGCACATATATTATTTTTGGGAAGAAACACGGTCTGTGTGAAAGGAGGAAGGCTTGTCGAAACCCTGTTTTTTTGTATTTCTTTCTCTTTCTTATAGGGTTGTCTCGCGAACAGCAAGCTCGACCCACTGTGACTCAACCCAGCATGTCCAATACTTTTCATAGAGGTCTCTATTCACATTAAAATTACTTTAAATCTTCATTTCAATGTTTGTTTTATTTTTATTAAATATATATTACTTAAACTTGGATAAATTCTGGGCTTTTTTGCTTCACACATCCTGTCACACCCTCTCACTTAATTTAACTTCCGGTTCAAATCTTGTTTGTTATTCGTCGCCATATTTTTGACAGTCCTTTTAATAAACTATAATTGTTCTTCTTATACTGTTATTTAACCTTGCTGAATTTATAAATTTACATGTAATACCGACGAATCTTTTTATTTTTATCTTTTGTAGAAAATACAGAGACCCACAGCTGCTGGTGTCGATACTCATCATACTGTCGATACTCAGATTGCAAAATTGCAGTTCGATGTGGCTGCAATGAAACAGACACTCTCTGGCATGAGCGAAGTCCAAGACGAGATCCTTTCTTGGGTAAAATAATTTTAAAAAGGTTTTGAAGCCGACCAGCTAGATATTGGAAAATGCTGTCACATGGTACATCACACATTAGCCCATTTCTTAATAATAATACCATTTATACAAGTTTATACAGATGTATAAAATTTTAAAACCCAACCAACAAAGAGTGAATATGTCAATATCCAGATGTGCATCTTAATTTAATAATAATAATAATATTGAATTAAACAGGAAAACCTACACCAACTTCTGGCCAGGTTTTACACATCGAACAGGATATTTCCATTGTAATCAACCGAGAAAGAGGTTTGTCAAGTTTAATAATTAAATTTATCAAACCAAACAAATGGCATATTGAGCTATTGGCATTGTTAAAATGTTTTGACCCATTAACACGCAACAAAGGCGACTTTGGTCTGATTGGTTGATTCTTTTGCTCGTTTTCAGGCCTTTTGTGCATTATTTTGCATGCTGCGTTGAAGGAGTTGTAAACATGTGCTCTCAAGTGTCAAAACAAAAGTTTGAGCAAAAATATTGCATAATCTGTAGTTAAAATGCAAATTTTTAGCTGTCCTTGTGCTGCAATTTTAACTAATCTTTCGTTGGTATTGATCTGATT